AATTCATCCCTCTCTACTTGAGACTAAATGATTATTAGAGTATCAGGATAACCTCCAACTACAGGACCCTCAACATCAACATATACACAATTACCCTCAACATCAACATATACACAATTACTACAATTACCACATTTGAGATCTTATGTTTTTTCTAAAATCATTATAATTTTAAGACTATTAAAAAAATATTATGCGATATGTTATTTATCAAAATCTGTTATTTTTTATTTTAAAAGTATTATATATCAAAATTAGAGAATTTCAATCTAAAAATTATTTAAACTTTGACACATGATAAATTTATATTCTAATATATGATACTTTCAAATGTTAATGTCAATTTAATAAAATAATTAAATTAAAATTTATTATAAAAAACTCAATTAAAAGAATAAATATAAAAATTAAAAACAAATAAAAAACTAAATATAAACATTCAATTATTAATTAAATAATTTCTTTTGTATTAAAAAAATCTAAAAGAGAAAAATTTGTTAAAGCCAATTTATTTTAGACATCACCATTTCTTGTCTATCACTATTTTGTTAGAAAAATCTCGTGATACACACTCAAATATTTTTCTAAAATTAGTTTTATGTTCATTAATAATTGAAGGACTTTAAATAGTTGTGATACTTACAATATTATAGAAATAAAATAAAATATGAAAATAAAATATCAACTATATTAAAAATAAAATCTGCTTAATCGATCATAAAATAATATTGTACCTAGATAAACCGAAAATCATAATACTTATTCCTATTTTATCTCTATCAAAATCAAACTAAATATTACTAGATCCAAAAACTAATAAAATAATATTTAAATAAAATTATAAATAAAATCCTAACATTTAAGATTATCCCAACATATTTTAAACTTGTTCATTACTATTTCTTGCCTGACATGTTGTTCATCGTGAGTCCAACCAAAATAAAGTAGGTTGGATTTTTTTAACATTTAACGAAATCAAATCCAATACAATTTTTTCTGAATATGGTGATAGGTATTTTTTCCTCTATCTTAATATTTTATTCCATTACCACCATAATATATATATGTATATTCTGAGTATAGTTTCAAATTAATTATGGATTGAAAATTTATTATATGATGTGAATGAAAGGAAAAAATATACGTGTTTAAGAAAAAAAAACTGGGTTTTATATGATGAATGAATATTAAGTAAAAAAAACTATTAAATATCATTAATTAATAATAATAATAATAATACAATGATACCTTATTTTATTTTATTTTATTATTATATTAATTAAATGTATATTTTTTAATATTAAATTATTCAAATATTAAATAATATATTTTGTTTGTTTTTTACAAGACTAAAAAAGGTTTTAAAACTACAAATACAATAAAAGGATGGAGAGAGAACGGTTAGCAAAAGAGAGTGAGTCTTTTTTTCTGAGAAAAGTGTAGGTGGAAATGGCAGGGCCGATAGTTACAAAATCTTCTCCTCAATCTTCTTTTCAAGATCCGAATTTGGATCGTGCCACGATTCCAAAGAATGCCGAGGAGAAGAAGGAAGTTGAATCTTTAGAGAAGGAGCTCGCCGACTTGTTCGGCTATTATAAGGAATTCATGGCTGAAAAAGTGGAGATCGACCTGAGCAGTCAGTGGAGTGGTTCAAGAGACTACCTGGAAGACCTCGTCGCGTTTATGCTAAACGAGAGTAACCTTCCGCTCTCGAAGCTGGTCGACGAGATCTAAGACCGATTAAACCGGGAGGTCCATAACGGCACAATCGTGGTGACAAAGCGGCTGACCTACGCGAGTGTGAGGGCTATGGTCGTGAATGAGGGAATGAGAACGAGTTTTGGACTGCCTAAGGCCGGTGCTGATGTATGGGAGGACACCACGGAGTCGTGTCTTTGGTGTTGGGAGGTGATTAAGAATTTTTTTTTATCTTGATCTTTTTCATGTTTATTTTACATTAACTATTCAATAGTATATGCAGGCGATATTTTCGGAAATGTTGTATAGGTTGCCGGAATCTGTCCAAACACATATTAGTAATCGACGCATGTGCCGCTCGAGGATCAAGGATAGGATTGCCGCGGTATCTGGTAATATTCGTTACACTGTTAGTTTTGGTTGAATGTAATTTGATTAATTATAATTAATAAAATTGTTTCATTTTCTTGAAAGCAAGAATGTGAAATTTTATTCTTGCGGTTGGTAATGTGATGTTCTTTTTGTATTTCTGTTTTTATACTGAAGCTAGCCTTAATTTACTTCGTAGTTGTTTCATTGTTTTCACCACCTTCTATTTTTTTATTTTTTTTTAGAAATGATGGAAGCTAAGAAAAGATTAAAGAATGCATGGATAAAGCTTAGTGGAACTGTGGATATGCATTATTGGGAGGATGATGTTATTAGTGATGAGAAGTATGAGAAGCTACAGATGGAGGGATCGACAAATTCAAGAAAGTTCGAAAATGAGTTAAAAGAAGAGGCATAGAGAAGAACAAAAGGCATTTGCGGGTGAATGTAGTTCTGAATTAGTAACAACTTAGTTATGATTTCCGATTTATCTTTTATGATTGATTAAGCAGATTTTATTTTTGTAATAGTTGATATTTTATTTTCAGATTTTATTTTATTAAAAAAAATCTAAAAGAGAAAAATTTGTTAAAGCCAATTTATTTTAGACATCACTATTTCTTGCCGATCACTATTTTGTTAGGAAAATCTCGTGATACACACTCGAATATTTTTCTAAAATTAGTTTTCTGTTCATTGATAATGGGAGGACTTTAAATAGTTGTGATACTTACAATGTTATGGAAATAAAATAAAATATGAAAATAAAATATCAACTATATTAAAAATAAAATCTGTCGATCATAAAATAATATTATACCTAGATAAACCGAAAATTATAACTACTTATCCCTATTTTATCTCTATCAAAATCAAACTAAATATTACTAGATCGAAAAATTAATAAAATAATATTTAAACAAAATTATCAATAAAATCCTAACATTTAACTTTATACCAACATATTTTAAATTCGTTCATTACTATTTCTTGCCTGGCTTGTTGTTTATCGTGAGTCCAACGAAAATAAAGTAGGTTGAATTTTTTTAACATTTAACGAAATCAAATCCAATACAATTTTTTCTCAGCATGGTGATAGGTATTTTTCCTCTATCTTAATATTTTATTCCATTACCACCATAATATATATATATAAATATATATATATATATATATATATATATATATATTCTGAGTATAGTTTCAAATTAATTATGGATTGAAAATTTATTATATGATGTGAATGAAAGGAAAAAATTATACGTGTTTAAGAAAAAAAACTGGATTTTATATGATGAATGAATATTAAGTAAAAAAACTATTAAATATCATTAATAATTAATAGGAAAATGATATTTGAACAACCTGTTTTGACAACATTTAGACACTGGACGCGTGTCTAAATGTGATTGGTGCACGTAGAAATTCTTTTTAAATGAAAGAATGACGTGGCAATGAGAGAATTAGGGGCAGATTCAACATGTAGGGTTATTTCGAAAATTTGAGATTGAAATGTTTTCAGAGAGAGAAGCTGGAGAACATTTCATGGAGCACCTTCGAACCAGTCACCACAATTCTCGTCGGATACCCGCCGCCCCTAGACGTTGCCGTTTTTCCTCCATCCAGTGCCGCCGCAGTGCCGTCGGTGTCCATCGTCTTCCACCCAGCCAGGCAGTTCAGATTGCGGGTCGCCGCAGCTCCGGCGTTGGCAGACGAACCGAAGACGACATCGTCTTCCCTCCGGCCCAGCCAACCAAGGGCGCGTTTTGAGTATCGATTCCTCCCACCCGCTTCCTTCCCTTTGCCGGACCCTTGCGGTGGCCGCTGGAGCATCGCCGGAGTGTCGTTGGAGTGTCCCCGGACCCTTTCAAGGTATGGTTTAGTGTGGGTTGAAGTTGTGTAGAAGATTTAGTGGTTGATGGTGTTTTTGGGTGGAAAGTATGAAGTTTTTTTCTAATTCTTTTGACGGTTTAATAGGTTCAGAGGTCCCTATATTTGTGTGTTCGTTTCAATTGGGTCCTCCAATTTTGGAATTGATCAATTGGGTCCCTAATTTGGTCAATTTGATTCAATAATA